GGTGATGCGTTTGGATTCCGAGGTACCGAGAATAATGCCGTTGAGGTAAAACGAATTACCTTTAGTACCCATGGAAGCTCTGGTTAGAAAATAACCTGCTATTTTATTACATTGTCGCTTAATGTTTATAAAACGAAACCGACAGACTCTGATCTTAGCATTTTCATTTCCGGATGTTTTCGCAGACGATTTTTCTGTGAACATCAGGCTATTTCGGGGTCCATCGCAGAGGCGTACGAACTCAAAAACCTCTTCAAACCATAAATTACTATGCTAGCTTTTATCTGTTACCTACTGTAATTTTTCACAGCAGGATATGATACGAAATACAATCCAATCACAGTGATGCTGAGACATTTGCAAGACTCCGGGCCGCAAGTGTCTGCGGTGGGGAACGAATGCCCTATTACCCTTTCTGGGGCTAATGAGTTCACCACCACACCATGCAAGTCCTTCGTTTCGCCACTCTCTCAGCTAGTCCTATCGATTAGTGCCATCAGCAATCACCCGTCAACGGCATTGATTTGGGGAGTGCAAAATGGTATTGACCCCAGTTAAGTTCATTTGTTGCACCGTTGTGTTTCGTTTTCTTTATTTCGCATCATACCCTGCCGTGAAAAATTATGGTAAGCAGCAAATGAAAGTTATCATTGTGATTTCAACTACAGCCTCAGTTGAACGGGGTTCAATGCCGATGTGGACCCCGAGATCAATTTCGCTGATGGCGATTGCCGATGGCGCTAATTGATACAACTAGCTGAGAGACAGGCGAAACGAAGAATCCGCATGGTGTGGTGATAAACGTGTTAGCCCACGGAAAGGGTAATAGCCCATTCGTTCCCAACCTCAGGCACCTGCGGTTGGGGGTTTGGAAACATCTCAGCATCATTGTGGTCATGAATTACTATTCCTGAAGCTCCTTCATGGGCTAGTAAAGAAAAAGGCAAATGAATTAGTTCTTCAATGGCGGCGAGCCGATAAAAGCCAAAACGACTTTGTTCGGGTGCAGTCTGCTGTAAAATGGCAATTATCACGATGGATGATAAGAATGCTTCCTAGTAAAGTCCCAAATGAACTTGATACTTTAGTGATTGGATTTCTTATTTTAGAGGCTACTGTTGAGTTGTGAATTTTGTAAACGTAGTAGTAATTTAATCACAGTGTATTGCAGCGTACATAAAAACGACAGCTAAAAATAGCTTGTTTTGAACTAATGCAGTGATGGCACCAAGGACTGGATTGATTAGGTCCAATTGCTTTGTTCTCTTCGGTAGTATGGAAAAATTTAGAGCACAAAAAAGCGACCGAAGCCGAAAAGTGTAACTATAAGTCACGTTCCTTACCACAAGGAAGATGTCTGAGTGGGAAAAAATGAAGCGGGATACAACCCCATTCTAAATACCGTCCGGTTCTTCCTCGAGAAGCACATAGGTTTCCTGATAAGTAGAATCAATTTAGACTGCAAAATGATGATGGCCACCGTATTTCACTTTATATTGCACATCATTGGAGAAATGGAAGAAAATCTCCCGACCATCTAGAGGATTTGAGGAAATTCCGGCTTAACTCCGTCGTCGGACTATTGCTACTCTTTGAATCACTGAGTAAGATCGTCGAGTACTCCCTAAATACCATAATACCCGCCAACGACACTGTTGTTCATAAAACGAAATGTTTTAAATAATTTCATGACACGAAGATTTCTAATGTTATATCGTTTTCTTAGAAACTCTGGCGAAGATGCTCAAGTGAAAGATTACGAAATAGTGAAGAGGAAGAGCATCATAAATCACTAGATTTCTGGAAACGATTTCGTGAAGAACATCGGGAGCACGATATTTGATCTCAGGATTCCTTTGCTGACCACCATTTCCTAAGAGTAGAATATAAATGAAAACCGTTTAAAAAAGTGTAAAAGTGATAGGAGTGGCATAAAGCGTTCTTCACTCACAATGCGTCCTCTCCACACCGATTGCGAATGAGGGGGTTCGTTGGATTAACATGCACAACAATGGAGTCATCTTGTTCTAGGCGGAATCCGATCACCCAGTATAAGGAAGTGTGACCGTTAAACGGAGATTCGACCGTTTTATGGATGTCATAGCGAAAGAAAACTATGCAGAATGCAGCACTCTCCATTCTGAACCATAGTTTGCACGCCTCCCCCGTTATATACTCAAACTCTGGAGCGCATGTTGCGCAGTGCTTCAAGGTGCCATGCAGTACACATGGCTTTAATCCCCCTCTTAAGGTTCGCCAAGCCTTCCACCCCTCCTGAGCCGGCAAATTGGTACCAGACTTGTCTGAAAGAATAGCAACACTGACTCAATACACCGTTAGGTCGCTGCAAGTCATTGCAAAGGCAAGATATTCGATCAACTCATAACGATGCTTAATGATATCGAATGCATGGCCCATCCGTCAGAGATTGATTAACGTCGAACGTTTTTTACGCTTTACACTCAGACTCATATATGAACATATATTTATCGGCGAATTTCAGGACTTCGTGAGTTTCTCGATTTAGCAGGTAGCTGATTAAGCAGGTGTTGATTACCGATAATGAGTCGGATTCCAGTTATCCATTGAACCGACTATGAGGATATTCCATACTCGAGCACCGAGCAATTCTTCATGCACGTTTCAGTTCAGTGTGAAACATCGTTCAACAGGCAAAGGTCTGTTTGTCTTATCAGATTTGATTTGAAATTCTCAATATTTGAAATTAAAGGACACAATTACGGTAACTCGTCACTATTTCGTCCTTTGCGAAGTCAATACAAATTGGTTTTCTGCGACGAAACAGTGTAATAGAAGCAGTGATTTCTGCATATTGAAATCATTTATCAGTGTTTTAGTCCTACATGATGAATTTTTCCCTCTGGTCTATTTTTCTAAACAACGGAGATCCCTCCATGTGTCTACTTACGGTGCGCGGCAGAAGGCTCATTTTCCTAGATAGAATTTCATGACTCGAGCACGAATCCGTATTTTCGATTGCAATATCCATTAAGCGTGATCCTACGGCATAGACAGTCAGTCCTTGTTTTTCAAAGAAACTCTTTTGGAAGTTGGCAAGCCTCATTTTGATATCTACAAAGATTGGGGACTATCCGTGGTAGCGGCCTGAAGATGGAGCGGCGTTGAACGACTACCCAGAATTCAAAAGAAAAACTTTATCCAACCCAGAAAGTCCGGGCTAAAGCGGTGTTGACTTTTGATGAGGTTCACACAATTTTTTGTGGCTACGGACTATCTACCTGTTCAAGAGGCACGCAGAGTAACAATTCTGACATGCAACAGTGAAACGTAGTCATTTGAACAAACATTGCAGATCAACTGCAATACAGGTAACCCATGAAACAAAAAAAATTGAAAAGCTCAACCAAGAACTTTATGAATGCAGAATGTCTACGATGAGTGGCCATTTCGTTGAAACGCTATGAAACCCGTGCACTGTTGCATCGTCGGAGGATGAAAACATTTAAACGAGAAGGGAAGTAAAATTACGTAATCAGTATAGTTGGCTTGTTATTACAATAGTAGTACGAGTTTTTTGCTTACTTTTAAGTAAGGGCGACTTTCCGCTGATTTTCAACTCGGGTTTTCAACTCGGTAGATTTTCAACTCGGTAGGTTAAGCCTAAACTAGTTGGTTTGATGGTAAAAAAGGATAAAGCTGTCGGCGTTGATCAATCCCTGAGCGATGCGCCATGGACTCGACTTCATTAAGCACCGTTGGAGGTGATTGCATGCATACCTTGCTTTTATAATGACTCGTGATGGCGTACCGATGTATCGAGCCAGTGCTGCTATACTTCCAGAAAAGTCTGGTAGCAATTTGCCGGCCCCAGAGGTATGGAGAGCTTGGTGAGCCTGGGGCTCGGGAATCAATCCCATGTGTATTGCAGGTCGACCCCGACCACTGCGCTAAAAATGCCCGATATGATGGTAAGAATCGTAATTGAAACAATGGTTTATAACAGTGTCCTCACATCAGAATGTAGTCTGTGACTTGATCACCATTAAGTGTGGTTAGATTCGGTATTCGTTTCTAACGTACTCGTTCAGAATGGTAAGCCAGTGAAATGTTTCATCTAAGCCACCAATTGATGGACAACAACTGGATCCCATTTTTTCTCCTTCATTATGTTTTTTTCAAAATTTAGCACAGAGTTGACCTCCAATGAGCTTAAGAATTTCAATAAGAGGGATTTGAAATCATGTAATCTCACAGTTTCGAGACATTCTGAGACTTTTCAAAGCACGTATTGTAGCAAATTCTACAGTGAATGAAGTGAAGCGGGGAAGTTTTTCAAAGAAAGAGCGATAAAAGTGAAGGCTCCTGGAGACATTCCTGTTTCTAGTTTTGCTCGATGCTGGCCCGCAAGTGTGTCCATTGGTGGAAGATAGACACGGCAATCATGGATACTATTTGCCACAAGCATCAGAAATCGCTTCCAAGTTAGAACAAATGCTTAGAAGGAATCAATATCTCGGTATTAACGTCTGTTATGGTTTTTTTTCGGCGGAATTAAACTCACAGAATATCTTTCCAAAACGAAGTCAGAGTTTATACTACACCTTTTTTCGATCAATACTCATTCAGGCCATATATGCTTACTGACAACAACGTTATGCATACCGATCTCAGCTTTCACTTTGGAGAAAGTCGAAAATGTCGCATCTCGACCCCCGGCTATTCCAGACTATCGATTTCGAATGCTCACGGACAAGTAATGGCAGAATGTTTCTTTTTTTTTCCTCTTACAGCAGAACTGCACCCTTATACATCTGTTCAAGTAGCTTCACTAGAATTCTAAAGACTTTCTTAGAATCTTCTAGTTTTCGTTGGAAAGTTCATGTCACGGCACATTTTCCGTTTAACCAGCTTTTAGCTAGAGTTATGAGATTATCGTCCCAAGGCGTTACCTAGAGGCCACCGCTGGTACTCGCTAGATCTTCTAGATCGGAGTGTTTGCCGTCGAATGGGTTTCCTCCATGAATGCAATGATTCCTGGCATTAGGTAACTCCTGAAGGGATAGTTGGACTGTAAATAATTGCTTCAGAATTGCCATTTCATTAACTGTAGTTCATCCAATGAGTCATTTATAGGCCAGATTGTCTCTTTAATCTAAAGATTTACTCCTTTTCATTTAGATCCCGTCTTGACTTCACGATTCGTTGCCGGGACGGCAACATCTTAGTAGCTAAGGAGGGGATATTCTTGGCTTCAGAATACTTTCGCAACTACTTAGAATCGGCAGATCATACCGATGCAAATTTTGGTGATGCAAACAGACAGGCAGTCCTGATTGTAAGTGGTCGCTTTGAAATCATTTATTTTTTATCTGTGGAAGTAAAAAATTTAGAACTCTAACGAATGTGTAGAAGCTCTTCAGGCAATCACATTTGCTTTAACTGGCACCATGGCACCTCCTGAATACTTGTCCCCGTCGATAGTAAACGACGTGATCGACACTGCTAGAAGGTACACGTTGAATTCGCTCTTAGCCACCTTATAGAGGGCATTTTTTTCCTTTTTCGTTCATTTTCTCTACAACAAAGGGCAATTTATGAAGCTACTTCAGCTTTCCATTAAGAATAGTCGTGGTATGGGCTATGAGATGAGCTGTAAGTCAATTTACGAAGTGGTCCCTTGTTATGGCGTACATTTGAACCACCTATTTTTCACGGTACGATTTGAAAATGAACTCAAAGGAAATGATGAACGAACGCGTAGTCGGAGTGACAGACTAAAAGTTTAACTAGAGCCTTGAATCTCTTATCTTCGAAGCAGTTCATCACGGTGTCCGAGTCTTGTACAGGAGCAATATTTCAGCTGGAAGAAGAAGGATTCCTCTGCCACCTAAACCTCACTTTCGTGGAAACTGTGCACGTTCACACGAGAATTTGCTCGTGCTACCAACCATTAAATCATGAGAACAAAATTTTCTTTTTCATAGACGTTCCCAAACTCTGTGTGATTCTCGAGTTCGGTATCTTGAAGAAGACTTTTCTCCAGCATGTTAGCTTGATGTCATCTTGAATACTACGAAAAAGTTTTATCTGTGGAAGTAAAACGATGTGGAGTAGGATCTATTGCAAATCAAATCAAGATCTGGATGAACAAGAAATACTGCAAGATAACCTAAGCAAGAAGTAGAGATGTCATTACAGAAGAGAAAAGAGGGTAGCCTGAAAATCAAACACGAGTGCTTCATCGCTACCGGGTGTGGGCGTAGGATTGACACAAGGAAGGCGTATGCTATATTGCTTGCAACAAAGAGTTGCGATCCTTCCAAATACCAGTGACTAAAAGATGGTACGTTAGACGTTAGAACGAGTAGCACCTATTGCTGTTGAAAATGGTTACCTAAGGAACAACATAAAAGCACTGATGATTGACAGAGGTACTTTTCCGTCGTCGAACCTCCGACTCGAATCAAAATTATTGATTTTACAACCACGGAAATGTTGTATGTCTACGTAGAACCTCTGACAGCCAACTAGAACAACTAAGAATAAGGAGATCGAAAGGGAATGTCTGGACTAGTATCTACCATTTCTGTTCTCCCTTATATAAACTGTGGAAGGACAGATATTAGACACTTGGTGACGGAGTTTTTCTAGTCATCTCCTGCCTACGCTCAGGTGGGACATCTGGCCATCCTGTTTCTATCACATATATCACCGATGTAGAATAGAATATGTCCATATCTTTCGCCACATTATCCATTTCGACCATCCTTTTCGGTGTACATTATCCATTGAGTGCTGACATGATGTCCTACCAAATTCAGCCTTACATCGAATCGAACTATGAATTCACCATCTGTTCGAGAGTACTTTTGTCCACGTACCTCGGCAGATTACGTGCCTATGCAAAGCATTAGTGAACTGTCCTGTACTACGAGTGAAAAGGATTAGCAACAGATAGACGAAGGAGAACAAACACTAGGATGCCTCAGCGTAGAACACAAAGGATATCATAAACAGGTTTATCTTTGTGATGACCAGTTAGGCTTAGTGGTGCTAAAGATGAGTTTAATTCAGTGAGTCTCAAATGGTTATTTATCCATTACGGTAAGATCTTTAATTTGAAGGATACACGCCTTAAGCTACGCGAAATTGCGAAACGCTCTAGAAGAAGAAGCTATTCAATGGGCAATTAAGGTAACGACTTCCATGCACAATCTCCCATATAGAAGTACTTCCACATCCACTTTTCTTCTGTTGTTCTGATAGTAGCCTCATTAGCGTCGTACTGCTCTCTATATTCGACGATTTACAACAATTTTCTGCTATTTTTTGAGTGCTTCCCTTAACTTATCTCCTAGCTCCTCAAACAACCTTAATTGCAAATTCATATCCAAAGAACTGAGCTACTGTTTGGGCATAAAAGCGGCCGTTAATTCGTTGGCATTAATCAATATGTGTAATGTATCCTATACCCTCCTGTGCATCCTCTAATGTATATGTATCCTCTTCTTAGAAGGCAGAAAATAAAAAGTAAACATTGTGATCTCAACTACAGCTTCAGCTTAACTGGGCTCAATGGCGATGTGGGCTCCTCAGATCAATCCTGTTGACTGGTGATTGCTAACGGCACAGATCGATAGAGCTAGCTGAAAGACAGGCGAAACGAAGGACCCGCATGATGCGATGGTGAACGCGTTACTCCCCGGTAAGGACAATAGCGCGTTCGTTCCCCGCTGCAGGCACCTGCGGTCTGGAGTTTTGCAAATATCTCAGCAATCTTGTGGTTGCATTTCGCTCAATATGTATATTTTGCACTCTGGTACCTATTTAATTTACTATGTGTTCGAACAAACACATCCCATCTTCGTATGTCATCAGAGCACTCTCTCATCATTAAAGGTAGTCATTGCTGTTCAAAATTAGTTTTTTTTTTCGTATTTTCACACTTGACGTAGTCACCACAACTATGTAGAAGGACTTCTTATGACGGATGTAATCTTGCACTGCACATGATCGGCCGAACCCCACTGCATGTGTTCCAACAGCTCACTATCGTCGTCAAAGGGCAACAGTGAGTGACGCTGATAAATTCCTCACCCAGAAGTGCGTGAAGGTTTCATAGAATCCTAGATGCATAAACCAGTTTTTTCCCACATCCCAGATGTGTGAAGTATTAGGATTCAATGTAATATCTTACTATGTAGACACGTATAACGCAGTGGTTAGAGAGGCGCCTTGTAATACATCTGGAGTCGTTGACTGGATCTTTTGCTCTGGGCTCACCAAGCCTTCCATCCTTCTGGGGTCGGCAATTTGATACCAAACTTGTCTGAGAAGATACCACCACTGACTTGATATATTGGGAGGCCATGGCATGTCATTCTATGGGCGGTATATGCATTCAGTCACCTCTAACGATGCTTCATCAAGTCGGATTCATCACGCATTGTTCAGGGATTGACCAACTTCGGACGCTCTATCCTTCACCCTTTTACCTTATCAACACTTGATATGGTGGTCAGATCAGTGTTTGTTTACTAAACCGTGCGGTTTTTAAACCATTGATTTGAGAACTGAACTTCTCACATCTTCTTTACAAAAATTGGTCACTGAATTCCTAGGTGGTATTAAAGTGGATAAGGACGCTTACGGCGCAGTGGTTGGAGGCGCCTTGCAACGCACACGTGGAATCGATCCCCGCGCCCATGCCCTACCAAACCTTTCATCCCTCCGGGGTCGGCAAATTGATACCAGAGGATAGCAGCACGGGCTCGATACAACGGTAGGCCACTGTGAGTCATTGTAAATGCCAAATATGCATTCAATCACCTCCAAACAATGCTTAATGAATTCTAATGCGTGGCGCATCCTTTAGATATTGATCAACGCCAATAGCTTTATCCTTTTTTATCTATTAAAGTGGAGAAGTGATACGGAATACTTAGATACTCTAGTTTACGGTACTCTTGTGTTCGGCTATGGAGGCGGGAAAGAAATCTAGTAATGACAAGCGATAATTTTCCGTTTTTCTTCGACTGGGTTTAACCCACTTCATTTCATATAGATCAAGTTTCTTTAGAATATCCTCAGATATTCATCTACTAATCCATTTTTGAATATTTCAACACTACCAATCAATATTATATTTTACTAACAACGACATTTTCGCGATAAACTATTTCACACTGCCCTAGGAAGCCGGTCAATTTTTGTATGAAAAAACCTTCCATCTCTGATACTGTGATGTGACTGGAATCCAATCCAACGACCATGGTGTGAAAAACGTGTGAACCATAAGAGATAATTTGCATAAGGGAAGCAACTTCCCCATGAACTACAGTAGAACGACCGACTTACTCTCTGTGAAAGGGTGAGGTGGCCTAGATAACGAAATAATCAAATAATGACTACAGTACTCACCGTAATTACATAAAGGATAGAAAATGAAGCTCCCGGCGTTGATTAATCCCTGAGGGATGCGTCATGCATTCGATTTCATTAAGCATCGTTTGAAGGTGAACGAATGCATATCTGGCCTTTACAATGACTCGCGGTGACCTACCGATGTATCAAGCCAGTGCTGCTATCCTCCCAGACAAGTCTGGTAGTAATTTGTCGACACTGGAAAGATGGAAGGCTTGGTGGGCCATGGGCGCAGAGATCGATTCCACATGTGTATCGCAGTCGCGCTACCAACCACTGCGCCACACGCGTCCTTTTTTACCGTAATGGCATGATTACTAATATTATTGCTATGCAAACAGATAATTGTTCATTTCAATGGGCTTCATCAATAGCACTCTGCAAGGAATCAATGACCAATTTGTAGACTTGACGTAACAGTTTGAGGACCTCCATCTTCCGACTTTGCTAGATTTTTATCCATACAATTCACTACCAATCAGTGGCTTCTATAATGTGATACTACTTGACCTAACAACATTGCATTATTAAAACCTGACGTTTGACAATAGACTGAAATCATTTCTATAGATTCCGTTGGATGGATCCTTGAAGAAAATTGTCGTTGTTGTTCTTCAGACGGAGATGTTGGTCCCTACCTACACCATGACCAAATCCTTTTTGTCTAAAGAACTGAACTAGGGTCCATAACACTCACAGTAATCAACCATTCCTTCTTTTCATTAGAGACATCTTGATTTAATCTGGAACTTGGAGCCAGAGCTATTCACTAAGAAGCAGGATAGGATATGTTCTATATGTGTTATATTTTTTGTTCTAACCAGAAGAAACAGGACCGATATAATAGTCCTATACTATTGATTGATCGTGGACGAGATCTTCTATTAAAATTCGGCACAGTTTTTCAGCAAAACGAGGATTTGCCTGCAATGTTGACGTGGTTCATCTGCTCACAACAATGCGGAATGGCAAATCTGCATATGGTATGCTTGGCTTACATCGCCAGAAATCACGCTACGCAATATCTGCAACAGTACACTGACGAATCCATGGTATGCTTTACGCGAATCCGTTGAAAAACTCGAATATTATTCGATTCGAATAGGCAAATACTCAGACATGTCACCTCAGAAATCATCACGACACCCGTCAAAACATGTAGTATTCCCACTATTAGTTCCTCACTAAACTACAGATGTTTAATGTATTCAGCTTCTTAACAATTACAACCCCTTTCTAATCACCCTGGCTGAAGGGTTTTCCGCAATATACAACTGCGATGTTCAGTATGAGCCTCACCATTCCAAGCATGGTCTCCTAAGCTGAGAAGGAGTTCGACATTCCCATCCGAAAACACAGCTAAGCGGAAACCGGTGCCAGGAACCTTTCCATTTGTGGTACCAACACGATTCTTCATGATTCTTGAAGAAAGATCGTCCAAGTATTCAAGTATTGCAGAAATGACCACGGAAATAAAAGTTGGAATATCCACAATTAAACAAAGTATTACATTATTACAACCACCTTGGCTACTTTTCTATAAATGAGAAAGTTTCTATGGGAATTTGCCAAAATAATTGACTTTCACCAACATATTTATTACTTACTTACTTGGATACTGCGACGGCAGGTCCTCACTGGTGGTGCAGGCTCCAGCATAACCTCCATTATTTCGGAATTTTGCTGGTTTAGCCATTGTGGTTCCCTGGAGTCCCGCGGTCAGCCAGGCGAAAGTCTGCAACAGGTCGTCACCACCACAGACACTTGCTACCCTTGTAGATCAGAGGGAAATTTGCCACCGCGCGACTAGTTTGATATCAGGACGGTGACGGATCCTGACAATGGTTTACTCTTAGCTGGGCTTTCTGATGGAAACGCTAAACTTCTTCTCGGCTTGAGAGACCGTGCGGTATATGCTTACGTATACACAGAAGACGTTCATTGGAAGACTGTACATGGCAGCTCGACACCCATGAACACCTCCCATCCACGATAAGACGGTAAACCGTTAAGACGAACCAATTTATTTAGTTAATGATATTGTAGGGCACGTGTAGGGCAGCGGTTTGAGGCATCCTGCAATACACATAGGATACATCACGCACCCAGGACTCACCAAGACTTCCATCTCTAAGGGGGGCAGCAAATTGGTACCATACTTGTCTACGAGGATAGTAGCACTGGCTCGATACATCGATAGGCCACTGTGAGTCATTGTAAAGACTATGTATGCATTCAGTCACCTCGAACTATGCTTAATGAAGTCGAATGCATGGCGCATCTCTGAGAGATTGACCAACGCCGACAGCTTTTTACAGCAGTCAGCCATCGGTAGTTGGTCAAGTTCTTCTGGGGCAGACATTCGGTTTGCTCGTTAGATGCAACTTGAACACCATAAAAATTATTATAACTTCCAGCTGTTCTGGTATTACGCTATCTGCCAACATGACGTGCTTACGTATACACAGAAGACGTTCATCAGTTTAATCCACCTCCCTTTCAGATCAGGCATAAAGTCCGTCTTGGTCTGCGTACCCACCATCCCATTCCATCTACCCGGTTAACAATTAATTAACTGATAACATATAGTAATAATACCAGTAGCTATTACAATAACTAGCAACAATAATAAACAATATAAACAATAACAGATATAACGAATAGAGATAGCACAGGAAAATAGTGAGAACTACGACAGTATCAGTATTTATTTCTATGACCCCACTTCACATTAATAGCGCGGAACCAGCACTTCCGTAATTCAGTCCGTTGTTTCACATCCGTCATCCACGAAGGTCTGCCCTGCTACTTGGGACGTTGCTTCAGGAATTTCGTTAAATTCTGGCCGAATTGAGTGTTTATGGAATTTTGAGATATGCAGTGTTCCCAAGTAGTCAGCACAGGACGTTAATGGTCTTTGCAGAACAGAGGAGATTTCGTCAGACAAACCGTGTACCGGTTTGCTAATACCGAATGGATAAAAAGAAGCCTTAATTGGGTCGGAACGTGATAGAACGCGCGAGCATGCATTTTACATGTCTAACCAGTACGCTTACGCCATAAAAAAGGATAAAGCTCTCGGCATTGATCAATCTCTGAGGAATGCACCATCCACTTGACATCATTGAGAATCATTGGAGGTGATTAAATGGTTATCTGACCTTTACAATAATTCGCAGTGGCCTCCCGATGTGCCCAGCTAGAGTTGCTATCCTCCCAGACAAGTCTGGTACCAATTTGCTCACCCCGGAGGGATGGAAGGCTTGGGTGGCCGTGGGCGCAGGGATCGATTCCACGTGTCCGACACGGGGCGTCTCCGACCTCTGCGCTACACGTCACTCACAAGTGAAATATACAGATATTAGAGACAAAACTCGAGTGATTATAAAACTGCGCCAACCGTTTGATTCAGGTGGTTGCCTCGTCTTCTGCTGATCCAGAAATGGCCGAGAATCTGAACAGGCGTCAAGGAATCCTACGACCAACAGCACATGTTCGCTTTTCCAAACTAATGAATTTCTACGAAAGTCTAACTTAGTAACCAATCTACCGTTTATTTAGCAACGTATAATGACCATCATACGATCCAACAGTAAAGTTCGTTCGGTGGCACGAATCGAAGCCAATTCGTAGACAGAACGTTTTCTACAGAAATCAGCGTCAGATACAACATCTTCGATTTTAATAAAACTTTATAATCACATTTCTATACACCACAGTGTCGCAGTTTATAAATCCAACAACACAAATTTTACGATAGTTGGTAAAAATCAGACGTCTGGATTTCAAAAAAATTGCTGGAAACGCTAAAGATTATCATCTAACAAACCATTACTTGTAACTTCATCTACCGGTAAATATACATGATATGAGACAAATCCAACCCGTTTAAACAAAGGTGCTTGAGAATGCTTTGGTGGTTTTATAATGTCAACTGGAATGTGTGCTTTTCCGGTGTTCAATAAGCGCGCTTCGATCGCAATCGAGAATCCTGCAGCGATTAACCTTATTTTCACGAAAAGACCGGTCGAGTAGTGGTAAATCTGTTTTGTCGCGAACATCGTTGTGTCGCTATATCATTAGTTTATCCTCTACTCAGTAGTACTACTTTAAGAACCATGATTCTGAGGAAAATAATTGTCAGTACTTCAGGAAAAATGGGGTGTATGATAGGATGACAGGGTGATTAGTCTGATTTTTTTTTTGTCTAACTTTGCTTTTTCTTAGCTGGATGGTATCAATCAGAACGTAACAAAGCTTTCGTTGTTTACCAGTTGTTCCTGTTTCTCCATTGTTTTGTATGTGTATTTATTCGTTTGAATAACTGCTGACTTCCTGTTGTTCCGCTGTCGGAAGAGGTATCTTGTAATTTCACAGCAGTAACCTGATGGTTCAGGGTTACCGGAACCGGATTAATTGCTGGTTCGATCCCGCTCCGGGCTCACCAAGCCTCTCATCCCTCCGGGGTCGGGAAATTGGTGCCAGGTTTGTTCGGGAAGAAATCATTCTGAAATCCAGTTGGGACGCTTCAGTCCGGCTATCTCAGGACTTTCCAAGGAGATTCGATTTAACCAGAACTCTACAACATTCAGAATGAGATGAAAATCGTCAAGCAGTAGTCGAAGCCAAGCGTAAAAGTTGGCAGACCTTCGTTGATGAGGGATTAGAGGAAAAGAATGGAATGTGAGAAGTGCTGGGATCCGCACAGTAGGCGAGAAGAAGGGTCGTATAAAGATTAAAAAAAACTTGATGGTTAACTCTAAAGTAGTTTTGTCGTAGCTCTTTCTTTGGCAAATGTTTCGACAGTCGATTGATTGACATTTTTTTGTTGCTTCAAGTTTTTTAATCGTGCTTAGTAGTATTTCTACGTCCTTATCAAGTTATCACCACTAGTAGCACGGATTTTTAGGTATGGCCCAACTTGCAGCTCGAGCGGTTTTGTCTTCTCTTTCGAAACGGACGTTCATTCACCCAACCGTCGTCTCGCATCGTGGCTTAGCCACGGAGGCATCTCCCGAAGACTATGGCTACTATCCAGATCCCCTTGAGCACGCCACCGGTCGTGAGAAGAAGATGCTTTTGGCTCGCCTCGCTGGAGATGACGTTAGTTTTTTAGCCCATTAAATTGTTCAGCATAATCGATTCATGAGGGTTTTGCGATGTAAGTGCTTTATATCACCATTATTACACGAAAGCTTTTACCATGTCTGAATTCGGTCCGGGTTTCCTACGTATTTTTCTATGTTAGTGTTCGCAAGAGGTGCGTGTAGCGATCGATCCCGCCCCCATGACCCACCAAGCCTTCCATCCCTTCGGGGTCGGGGCATAGGTACCAGACTTGTCTGGGAGGATAGCGGCACTGGTTCGGTACATCGGTAATCCACCGCGAGTCGTTGTTAAGGCCAGATATGCATTTCATCACCTCCAAACGATACTTGATGATGTCGAATGCATGGCGTATCCCGCAGGGATAGATCGAGGCCAGGAGCTTTATCCTTTATCTTTTCAGTGTTCGCGAAGTTAAAACTTCTTACGATAATCTGTTGAAAAGCTGGTTCATTTTCTACATTTGGAATTGTTTAACGAGTATTTATCGAATCATTAATTCCAGCGTTACGAACCAAAAGTGTACTATCGTGCAGAATTGTCTACTAAGGACAGACCAAACTTGGTGCCATCACACTTCCCCGACAGAATCATCGGATGCTTGTGTAAGTATAACCAGTATTATAAATCGGGTGACGTAGTGATTATCATGGAATAACATTCGTAGAAATCCAATTTGTTTTTCTTGTGAGTGTTAACGTAGAGGGAACTGTGACATCGTTTTTTTTAGCTTGCTTTTAATGATACCCTTTAATTTTCACCTTTTTTATTTGAATGCTTCTTTGACTAATCTTGTGATTTCTTCCCTCAATATCTCCTTCATGGTTTTAGCTACATTATGAGTATGGTTGCTCGTCTGGCCACGGTTTGCGATCGGTTTCCGGTCAGGTCGTGAAAGTGGAAAGTTCTGTATTTGCATTGCGAGGAAAAGCTAAGGAGAAATCTATGCCAGAACTCGACACCGTACTGTAGTAGTCCTGATTATAAATTGAGCTTCTGGTTCGTAATCTTACGCGTTTTTCTGTGGTGGTGAACTGTTGTGACCTTACTGTTATATTTTGGGTTTAAGGTGAGGAAGTACTTTGCCTTATAAACAAAGTGCGAACCTTCATGTGTGAGAGTTCTTGTCATCGTAATGATGGAATCTCTTCCATTTGATTTCTGCCTATGTGGTAATCTTGTTATGGGAAGAAATAACAAAATAATTACCGAAGCATAGCATGTTAAAAACTCGAGGAATCAAGTGCTAGAGATGGTGAAAACATAGAGTTCAAAAGCTGGCACTTGACATTTATGCGAACGCTATCGAAGGGTCATCGGTTACATTTCCATCTTTGCTCCTCCAACCACTTTGTGGTATAAAATCCAGGAATAAAAGGGTCATTTGAGTGCTCTATTCTTTTTTCTTTTCTTTTTTTTTTTCGTAAAGTCCTCTCTGAGAATCAGTCTGTCAGTACCAGCTTTGAAGTTTGTGCCGTAGCACCATGCATGAGTCGTCGTATTGCTCACATTCCTTCCGAGTGTCTTTCGTGATAGGTTTCTTGTTATACTTTTTGCATTCGATCAGTGGCTTCTCTGTAACAGCTGTTGGACCGGAAGCTGATCAAGATAGATTGTTACACATCAAAATTTCCAGAGAAAAAAGGACTTTTCGAACTACTTTGTTGCTTGTTAATGAAACCATTTCAAGCAAAGAGGCTAATCGGACATCTGCCAGAGATACAGTTGCTAGTAAAATGAGTACTAAGACATTCCAGTGCGCCTATCAGTGTGTTGCCAGACTTCTTTTGGTAGCATTACAGGTTCTGAACTCCATGTGTCTCGAAGGCATATACTTTTTAACCTCAGATTATACGTTTTTTGTTTGCAATAGTTTGTGCCCGTACCGTTATTATCTGTCAAGTTTTGATTGCCGTTATTGAAATAGTCTCAACAGAAATATCCTTGGCATTTGTTACATCTATGGCTCGCCTGCCGGTGTGTATGCCATCATATGCGAGATGGTGATATGCCATCGATGATCCAGGGTTTGTGAGTTATATTACTTGACCGATCTATGCTGACCTCATCATCATCACTTTCTTTCTCGTCTTTCGGCTTTCTAAATCCGTTGAGGTGAACACAAAGGATTCCTCATTCTCAGCGTCCTCAGCGTTTTGCAAAGTTATGAAAAGTCGTTCGAGAATGATGTTGTTTTTTTGTGTGGCCGTCACAAACGCAGTGCTTTATTATACGTACTTGTTTGGATACTTCGATTGCGTTTCTTCACTGGTGATAGAGGCTTTAGTACAATTTCCATTCGTTTCCTTTCTTGCACAATCGTTGTCTATGAAGGTGAGTTGCTCTGAACATGGTAACGGCCCGTTCGCTAGTCCTGAAGCCGTTACCGTTCGCGGGTTATGTTGGTTGACGTTGCCACAAACACATCTATGAGATGGTTGACGTTTGCCGCGATCACGTTTACCGATCGTTTGCGTAGTATTCTAAGTGGACGCTTGAATTTTCCTGCTGTCCATTCTGCTGTTTTTTTCATCCATCTATCACCTGTTCTCTCATTATGTGACCAGCCAATCTGTGTCTCGCTGTTGATGCATATCCTCCTGTTCCCAAGGATAAGATAGATTTCGAAGATCTGAACTGTGCATTCGGGGCAGACGTTGGATGGGTCGGTTAAATTTCAGAAGACATCGTTCAAACGCTCCGTGTGTGGTGCGCAGTTTCTGGCCAGGTTGAGGTAACAGCCAACATCTTTGATTTATTGTAACCTAAGGAAAAAAAGTCATTGTGGTACCACAGCAATTGTGTTAGGATCGATCTAAGTGTGACAAAGAAAATTCAACATTTTAGTAGAGGGATAACTACTGGAAAATGAAAGGAAGGATAGTAGTTTCGCAAGGGTCATTAGTTACCGTTTGAAATCATTGTTCATAATCCATATGTCGCGAAGTACGTAAACAAGGGCCTTACTCTAGTGAACGGTTATAGGAATTCTCCGCCCATTTATTCAGAGTGCTGTTTTGCTAATTTATTGGTTGCTGTTTACGATAATCAATCATAGTTATCATTTAAAATGGGTGGATGTCTAGAAGCACTCTAGCACATGTCGCAGTTGTAGGGTGAAAAGCACAACAGAGTGTGGCTATCTGTTGGTAGTCAGGGTGACCAGTTCTCTGAATATCCTAGTACTAATACTAATAGTCCTAATACAATGGACTATAAGGTAGACACTATTTCTATACAAGGAAGAAGACCCACGAGGTATTGAAAACTGTTGCTCGACATTTTTCCTTTATGTTGGAGCGATTTCCTTGGTGGTCAGCGTGACCGAGTCAAGTCTCATATTGTTCAGCGCTTTTGGTGAAGAGGCGAAAATTAGCGTCCCACATGCACACGACACAAAAGTGTCGGACCTTGTCTTGTATAGTTATTGCCCAAGAAGTTTAAAAAAAGCGTGACAGATGGGTGAATAAATAGAGGAACTATAGAGTAGTGGTGGTGGATCGGTTTTGTGTTTACTTACAAGAAACACGAGTGTTTTGAGATATTGTTTTATGGTAGCTTATCAACGTGTATGTTACAGGTGAGCCCGATTCGGGTCACGTCAACTTCATGATGATTCGTAAAGGAACTCCGAAGAGATGCGAATGTGGACACTGGTTCAAGGCTATCGATGCAGACCCAGAATCCGTTTAAATCGTATAGACTATATAGTTTAGTTTGTAAATGAAGGGTTCTGTTTTCGGTGATTTATTTTGTATAATTGCTGTCAGCTACAGTAGTTATTTCTTAGTACTAGAGAGTGTCAGTATGGTTCGTAATGAATTCATTTTCAAGTATTAAAATCGGTGAAGTTTCCTTCACACATGAATACGTTTGTCGTTATTGATAGTCATATCTTTCTACTAGGAGCATAGAGATCTCTGGTCATTTAGTATATTGGTATTGGCACTCGAAGATCTGTAAGTTCACTACTTACATGGATAGGCCATCCTCACTGGTTGTGCGGGCCTCAGCATAGTTTCCACTTTTTCGGAGATTGCTGGCTTAACTGTTGTGGTTCCCTGAGGCCCTGAGGTGAGCCTAGCCAAGTCTGCACCGGGTCGTCACCACCACAGGTAGTTGCAGCCCTTGTGGACCAGAGGAAATTTGCTACCATGCGACTAGTTTGATACCAGGGCGGTGGTGGAACCTGGTATTGGTGTACTTTTTGCTAGGCTTCCCAATGGAAACATCGGATTCCTTCTCAGCTTGAGAGGTCCTTCTGTGGCAATCCCTATGCATAGTAACTTACAACTTGTACTAGCCGAATGATAATTTACTTACGTTTGCAATTCCATGGATCTCGTTCATATAAGGGATTTCGAATCGGTTAGTCGCGAGGCTACGTGGCGCGCCCTCAAGTGGCGGATAGCGGGTCAATCGCGGATCAAAGGCGACCGTATGTTTCCCTGAGACGCAGGTGCATCCAGTGGATGTACTCCCTGTTTCTGCTGCGCCGATTTGGCACATACTGTTTTGTATTTACGAGGCGTATTCATGCACGCGTGAGTAGGTGCGTTCTAGTTTATGCGGACTGTATTCTACGAGTCAATTCAGTCAAAAGCCTGCAATCAAGTGACAAGGAAGTATATGGGGGGCAGTTAGGAGTCGCCTCCAACAAATAAGCTCCATGTCCACTCTGGGAGAGTCTGGCAAGCTACCCGTGAGTATACCCAACCCCCACGTTCAGAGCACATCTAGCTATAAGTAGGTATCAAAATGCTAAACAGTAGTAAAAACAGGCCTCATTCTCTTGGCTTCGAAAGAGCCCCCAATTCTGTAGCGTTGGGTAGGTGAGTACGGAGAGGCTGCTAAAATCTCAGGATCACGAAGAACTATGGTGACGATCTGTACCTACAATGCATGTACACTTGCATCCTATTCCTCGATAGAAGACTTGATCATGCTGGCGAGAAGGATAATGTACGACATTATCGGCCTGTCCGAGACGAGGCAACGCCACTCATTCAATGCCGTCTATGGCACCGGAGAAGAACTGCGCCTCGGAACATGCGACAGTAAAGGAGCAGGCGGCGTCAGCGTGCTCGTCAACAGATTTTGTCCGTGAACATCGAACAACTTGCAACCTAATTCGGATAATTACGATTAAAAAGACATGGATCAATCCCAGCTTTGACAATCTTCGTCGTTTACGTTCCGACATCAAACAATGACGAAGAAGAAGTCGAAGCGTTCTATATGGACTTAGAGTTCTACAGAGAAGACCGTACATTCTCCAAGGTCATCATTGGAGATTTCAACGCCAAGATTGGACCAGGAAGAACATCTGACGGACGTCTCATTCGGACCCATGGATTAGAAGGGAACGAACTGGGTGAGCGGCTGTCTGAGTTTATCATGGCAACCAAGATCATCCATGGTAACTTCCAATTTCAGAAGCCCCATGCTAAACGCTGGACGTGGGAGTCTCCCACTGGAGAGTACCATAACGAAATAGAGCACATCATAGTAAATAGAAGGTTTTGCTTAACCGATGTTGCTGTTGTTCCAAAATTCTACGCGGGATCAGACCATCGTCTCCTTCGTGCAAGATTCTGTTTTTCGCGAAAAGGATAAAAAGCCGCTAAATTCAAAAACCGAAGCCCCAGAAGCGCTGTAAACTGGGACTTATTCAGTTTATTAGTCGGCTGTTGGGAAGATGTCGTTGTCGATAACATCGACGAAGAATATGATCGGATCATTAAAAATCTTCACGTTAGCGCTATGAAAGCAAGAGTTTGGAAGTCACCAAGAAACGTCTGTCTCCAGAAACTCTGGGGCTGATAGGCCAGCATGGAATCGCACGAGCTACAGGCGACCTTCAACTAACGTTCGAACTTATAAAACAATATACACAGGCGATAAAAGAAGGTCTTAAAGAGGGATGAGCAGCAATAATGGTCGAAACTGCAGAGGCTGGGAAAGGCGTTCCCAAAACCCACCGAAGCTTCGCCAATTACAAGACCAAAAATGATTGTTCTCCTTCGCGTCCAGAAAGGAAATGGAGAAAAACATTCACGAATACTAGTCGAATCTCTTCGATAGCCACGTCCGCCTTCCGTCATATGAAATAAAGGAGGATGGATATGTTGTACCACCGGTTCTTTGCGAAATCGGATGTGCCATTTCGTCGGTGAAAAATCGACCAGCACCAGGTCTGGGCAGGATAAGACCAAAGCTCCTGAAGAACCTTCCGCCAGTCCTCATAAACAAAGTGGCACGGCTCTTCACACATTACCTGTCTGAATGCAAGGTACCTACTTAGTGGAAGACCAGCAAGACCGTGTTATTGTTCAAGAAGGGTGACCTCCATGATATCGGCAACTTTCGCCCAATCTGTTTAGTGTCTGTCGTTTACAAGCTTTTCGCTCGAGTCATCCTAAACAGGATTGACAAAACACTGGGCGAAGGACAGCCATGTGAGCAAGCAGAGTTTTGAAAAGGATTTAGTACGATGAACCACATCCATGCGATAAAAAGGCTTATGGAAGTATCACGAGAGTACGAAGACCGCTCTCTCACACTTTCATCTATTTAAGGAGGTATTTTGACTAGGATAGAAGCAGTTTTGGAAGCCTTTGATAGTCAAGGAGCTCACTAGTTCTCTACTCAATACATAAGGATTCTTCGTGAGTTGTACAAAAATTTCGCAACCAAAGTATCACCATTCTACAACGATGTTAACATTGACGTCAAAAGAGGAGTTAGGCAAGGTGATACCATTTCGCCAAAATTATTTACCGCCTTACTGCAGAACGTCATGCGAGCATTGGAATGGGATAATATGGGAGTGAAAATCGATGGCTGCCAGTTACATCATTTTCGCTTTGATGATGACATCGTCCTTGTAACAGCAAATATTAGCCAAGCGAAACGTATGCTTGATGACTTTGATAAAACCTGTGGAAGGATTGTTCTTCGGCTAGATCTCACAAAAACGATGTTTATGAGGAACGAGTTGGTTTCGTATGCCCCATTCAAGCTCAACGGAACGAATATCCCCGAATGCTCCAGTTATGTCTATCTAGGTCGAGAAATCAACATGTTGAACGGCTTAGCTCCAGAGTTGATCAGAAGGAAATGAGTGGCTTGGGAGCTTTCAAGAGCATCGAGGATGTAGTGAAGAGAACAAAGAACACCAGACACCGTGCCCACCTTTTCGACTCAACGGTGCTTCATGCCCTAACGTATGCGTCAGAAACCTGGTCGCTGTGTAAGCAGGATGAAAGTTCACTCAGCGTTATTGAACTCGCATGCGAAAGGACGATGCTAAGAGTATCCCGTTTCACACAAGTAAGGGATGGTATCCGATGTTCCGATCTGTGTCAACGATCAAAAATCAAAGATAGTGTCCTGTACGCCAAACAGTCGAAGGTAGGGTGGGCGGGAGACATAGTGCGTGTGAATGCAATCGATGCGCAAGAGCCATTAGTGACTGGATTCCTCGGGATGTCAAACGTACTGCAGGAATACCATCGACCCGATGGTCAGAGTTCTTCACAAAGAGCCTTGAAGAAAGATATGATGCTCGAAAAGTTCCTAGAGAGAGAGCAGAACCCACCGAGCTACTCTTTGACGCGACAGGGAATAATGGAAGATTTACTGCAGCCTGTTTGAGTCCCTTGACGATGAACGGCACTACAGGTGATATAGGTGATGTCTACAACTAGTATGGTTTTCACTTTCTCGTATAATGTGTCATTTAAATCTCTAATTAGTTGTGGAATCAGGTTACTACTATTTAGGACTTAGGCATGAGAATTCGTAGTGAGGATATGAGGGCTGAAGCATCTTAGGAAACAAACGAATATGCATAGTTGTCTTTTCTTGATCAAACGTATGTTCGTCATAGGTTTCATTTTTAGTAATTTCATATTGTTTGAATGTTAACAATAAGGAATAAGATTTTCAGATTTCTCATGTTTCGTCGTCCAGTGGTTCGTACAACGAAACTCCGACATTCAGCTCGTTTTGCCGCTAAAGAGGCAGCTCGTGTTCTGGATGGAGCTGAGCGGTCTTCGTTGACAAATCATAAACTCGCGAAACTCGAACAGGATAACGCCCATGAGGATCCACATGCGAACATCGTATGGAGGAAGGATCTTCCTAATTTCGAAGACGAAATGATCGGTGGACCGAAAAAGAAAAGCAGCCGAAAACGTTCCTCTACGACAACGCCTTGCGGTCAAAACCAGCCAAAACGGAAACGGAAGTTTCGTGCTAGACGATTTCGGAACTTCATTTCAGCTCTTGACGAGGCTAATCAGAAGTATCGGAAGAATAAAAGACTTTATCGAGCGTTTTTTAAGGCTACAGCACCAGCGCCAAAAATACCTGGAAGGAAATTTTGTGCTCCATGTGGGGATATGGGGATATATTCGTGTATAAGGTGTGGAACACCGTACTGTTCAATAGTGTGCCGTGATGTACATATGGACACGAAGTGCGAACGATGGATTCGTTAAGAGCTTCTTTCTTATTTTACGTGCTTAGCCTGCTTATTACACCATTTTTCCATATTTTCTACGGGTTCATCTTGGAACGTATCGCTGAAAATCTCTTTTACAACGGTTGCTTTAATATTTATTCTCTATACTTCACCTATTTGTTCTTTTAGAATCAAATGTCCGCTCTGAGGTCAAGACTTTATCGTGAGTCTCTATTTATCTTGTAGGTGTCCCATACTGGTCTAAATGTCTGCTTTTAGCTTTGGTTTGTTTACAACAATCCACTACAGCAAGTTGTCCTCTATAGTCAGTCGATTTTTTCAGTTCGAATGAAGATTTAGGGAACTTTGTTATTAATGGAAAGATGAGGCATCTACAAGGTGGGTGGAGACAGGTCTCCTCTCTTCCTCGTCCGTGCTTGATAGCTAATTACCTACAAATATTGGTAAACTAAAACACCTAGGACAATGAGGCCACTGATTTCGGTATGAACATAGAGAGACGAGACGCCATCTGTTCTGATCCACTTTGTTTCCAGTGGTTTCTTATGTGGGACAGAGTTTGCTATGCTGGACATTTTGTATGCTGTCATTGGCTTCCATATCAAACAAATTCTGTCAGTTGTGCTTTAAAAGACGTACACGGTTTAATTTGGAATTGATATTTCGCAATATATACCCTGCCGTTAAAAAAGTAGGTAGTAAATAATGAGTTAAAATTTAGCTTTTATGCTGTTAGTTCTGATAGTCCATACGCATGTAAATGTCTAGGGTCGTGTAGAACATCGGTTGAGTTACACGACCACGGTAGTCTTGTACCGGCAAGCAACTCTGATTATAGGGTGTCGCTTTACAAGGTGCGAACTGAGTCCCAAACATTTCGCAATATATATCTCTTTAATGGAGATATTACAGAATTACATCTGGAACACTAGTATCCAAAATTTTATGCTATTGTGTTAAACAGACTTAGAAGTATTAACAAATTTAAGAGCAATACATATTGTGCAAAGTGAACGAAAATGGGCATTGTTACAATCTTGCTAACAAGACATTGTGCAAGAAAGAAAGCCAAAAAACTAAATTTTTGGGGATTCGGGATCAAAAGCCTGGAAAAGTGCTATTAGCGAATGTTTCAGTTTGCACTAAGATATGATCAAGAATCATTTCAGGCTTAGACTAAAACATGGTCAATTCTGAAAGTTCGAGACAACTTGATAATAACACAGCATAAGAAGAAAGGACTAGTAGCAGGATCACTACTCGAAATATCCACTGAGTAAATTAGCCTCGATATTGTTAATATTAGGAAGTAGGGATAAAAAGATCAGTACTAGGAAATACTATTGCTAAAAAACTTGTACTAACCCCACTATGATCCCCAAAAAAGAACTCTGGAGCTAAGTTTAACCGAGGCGGCGCACCTCAATAACACGTTAATGAAGATGCTATGAAAAATATTCTTTCATGAACTAGTAGAGGGTCCTTTCAAAAAACATCCTACTTGGACGTACCATATACGGTACTATACATAAAAACATCCATACAGACTACCACCTATAGTTCTACACTAATGAGGAAATAAAGAAAGAACTTTTATGCAGATTGGAGCCGCTTGATTTACTACAAGATAATTCTATTAGTTTTTCAAGATAAAACACTCATCTGCACCTTTTAGAGGTTGTGGTGAAGACTGACATTGAAAATTCTACAATGATTGATAGCCGTTGAATTGAAAAAATTATAAACCAGTTTCAGATTCCCTTCAATATCAATATTTCATACGATGCTTTAAAAGTCCATGAAGATGGTAAGGGGGAGGAGGCAGAGCAAGAGGAGAAGGAGAAGGAAGAAGAAGAAGAAGAAGACTAGTGTAATGTGCAGAACTACGAAATTATACAACGATAATGTTTCTACACATCATATGAACATCTCTTTTGCCAATTACAAGTGATATGTGAAGAGCTCTGAAGCTTCGACGAAGAATTGAGTTAGACAGTGCCAAAACTCCTCTAATTCATATTATTTGTATCAAGGAATGCACCTACAGCTCCCAGATATCCTTCATGCTTCATGAATAGCGCCTCCATACTACCCTGAAGATGAGGTTTCGACATAATGCTCACATCTTATAATCTTTAAGTGATTAATTAACGTTATACACCTAAAACATTTTGATGTTCAACCTTCCTTACTTGGGAACTTCGACGGATCGCCCTCACTGGTTGTGCGGGCTCCAGCATAAAAAGGATAAAGGATGAAGCTCTCGGCGTTGATCAATCCCTGAGAGACGCGCCATGCATTCGACTTTATTAAATATCGTTGGAGGTGATTGAATGCATATTTGGTCTCTACAATAGCTCGCGGTGGCCCACCGATGTATCGGGCCAGTGTTGCTGTCCTCACAGACAAGTCTGGTACCAATTTACCGACCCCGGAGGAATGGAAGACTTGGTGGGCCATGGGCGCGTGGATCGATTCCACGTGTGTCGCAGTGGCACCTCTAACCACTGCGCGACATGCACCCTGCTCCAGCATAACTTCCATTCTTTCCTAGTTTACCCGGCTTAGCCAGCTTAGCCATTGTAGTTTCCTGCAGTCCCGAGGTCACCCAGGTCAAAGCCTGCCCCAGGTCATCACCACCACAGGCAGTCGCGGCCCTTGCGTATCAGAGATTTGCCGCCATGTGACTAGCATGGTACTAGGACGGTACTGGATCATGATAGTAGTTTACTCTTAGCTGCGCTTCCTAATGAAAACGCCGGGTTCCTTGTCAGCATGGGAGAGCCCGCTGAGAAAAAGGATCCCCTGTTCTACATTGCAACTCGACACGTAGAACACCCAGACGCAATGAGGCGGTAAAGCGCTGTGAGGGATGTCTATCCACAAATGACACTTATTCGCAGCCATTACAACTTCTAATTTATGAAAATACACTCATCTCAGTCCTCAGCACTCCATGCACCAAACTGATCAGTGGACTTGTTTGCGAATAGATCAGTCTCTGCATAAGTACATTTCTAGTAAGAGTAACATACCTTGCTCCAGTAATTTATAGCGTACGACAATGTTCGCATTGTTATAGGATGCTTGCGAATGAAAAAACCGCCAAAGTATATTCGTTTCATGGAATATCGCGTACCATATAACATTGCCATCTGCAAAGAAAAAAACTATACCGAATGATACACGACAGCAAAAGTCGTTTCACCTGTCCAATATTGTTACTGATCATTAGCAGTAGTGATTTAGCAATGTCTGATTCTGAAGCTTTGATCTCACAATCTCCTCGAGGGCTACAATGTTTACCGATCCGACTGCACTTCCCAAACGAACCAGCAATCAAATCACCGGGTAGATTTAAATTCTCATACGAGCCTCCATAAATATCGCACACCTAAATTGTGAAAATTCATTACGTTCATCAATATGTCAGCTGAAGTAATTAGTGGTGAAATGGTGCTACTTTGATACGTCATTGATAAACTCCAATGCAAAGGCTCCGTTTCCCAATTTTTTGCTGACAAAGAGAAAATCTGACAGTGCAAGAAAGAAAAATCTACCAATGTGTCACATTTTCGATGATCACCCTTCTCCGCCATTAGCAGAAGATCGTCGAAATCTACAATGGTTAAAATAATGGAAGCGATATTAAAGCTTAACAGGTGGTGCGTATTCTATACAATCATACGGGGTGCCTCAAATGGGCAGAATGAACTATCTGTACTTCATCTTCTTTCTGTTTATTTTGCCGCACAGGGCATTTCTTCCACGCTTCTTTCTTGTAATCGATAATAAACGTAATCAATCGTCCGTCTGTCGAACATGGATGTGGTGGACGTACCCAGGGGATAGGCTCTACTTTGTACTTAGAAAATATGGAAAAAAGTCGGACGAGTTCATTGACCAGTCATTTGACTAGCAACTGATTGTGTACAGTTTTTTCTATAAACCTGTCATGTTGGCAACATCTGAAGTCTTATGGTTATCAGAAAACTATCGTCTCTTTTCGGAGAAACAGAACATCCATAACACCTGGAAATGAAGCGTCGTCCCTTGCGGCAGAGCCGCTAAAAAAATGGGTCGGCGTTTCGTTAAGTGTTAAAAGAATTCGAAAGATATGAAAGCGGCAACCCTCACTTTGAGCTGACGTCAATAGATGCCCGAGACCAATGAACGCACCACCCCCCATAGAACTACCGCCAACTCGTTGAAACGTCGATTGCGAATCAACCTGGTATAGTATTTGATTACATAATCATTTGCATGATTTCACTGTTGTAGCACTGTAGATGAAAACTAGTACTACAATGACCAGAATCTCACTTTAAGAACGGAAATTCCAGTACCAATGTTCACCAGCAGGAACGGGTAGATCGAATCAGTGTCTATTGGTTTGTACTGATATCTGAAAGCCGCTTTAAGATAGCACATCGGTATTGTAAACTAAGAGCTCGTAAAATGTACCGTTCTATTCCCACAGCTTCGTGGTGGTATGTGAATGATTCGTCTTCGTTATTTTTCAAAAGGAAATCACATCCAAAGATAAGAGATCTCATTTCGTCCGTTCGTTTAACTCTAAATATTGTTTCGTAACAATGTGTGCTTCCCCGTGGGCTATGTTTTCAAGCAGTGAAAGTCTGACAGCCTTCAATCAAAGAAATCTTCGGATAATACGGCCATATGAGTAGCGAAATTGACATCAGGAATCTATAACTTGTAATGTATTTGCATCACGGTAAAACCAAATAAAGCTAAGTATGGAAAGGTAAGGATAAAGGATAAAGCTCTCTGCATTGTTCAATCCCTAAGAGATGCGCCGTGCATTCGATTTAACTAAACATCGATGAAGTTGATTGAATGCAGCATATCTGGCCTATACAATGACTCGCGGTGGCTCACCGATATATTGAGTCAGTGCTGCTATCCTCCTAGACAAGTCTGGTACCAATTCGCCCGCCCCAAAGAGATGAAGGCTTGGTTAGACTGGGTAGATGGAATCGATCCAATATGTATAGCACGGCACTTCCAACCACTGCGCCACACACGCCTCTTATTGAAAGATACGGAAGAAAGAAGCAACGAAATTAAACATTTATACTTACTTCACTCCCAAAGATTTGTGCATCATTTCGGCGTATTTGAATGATCCACCGCCTGTACAGTGTAAGACATCATCGGATACACGGTCGTGCCAATTCTGAAGAACCCAATCAAACAATCTTCGTAAACTACAATCTGCTGACTCTACTTCAATAATACTGAACTAGAGAACAGCAATGCTGATAAAATAACGAGAGGTTCATGATATCAGCGAATTTTACTGCCAGGTGGAACCATCACTAAGTCTGCCGATACTCTTTCGATAACAAGAGTGCTTCAGAACACGTTGGCTTGAAGGACACTTATAGAATAAGAAAACACGTGTCTTGTTTTTGAAGACTAGATTTTAACGCTCTTTCAAGAAATATAGTTCACTATGATCTGGGATACGTTTTTTTGAAGCTACAATGCCAAATTCTTTCCTGACATTCACAAGTGAGGTGTGACTCATACCGTCGACAATGGGTTAACAAAGAGGATTTTATCACTCTCTCACCTCCACCGTTATTCCAATAGCGAAGGTCGGTCGGACTTATGCAGAAAACAGAGTACTAAACGTTTCTAAGAGCGCGTGTGGCGCAGTGGTCGGAGGCGCACTGCAACAAACGTGGAATCGATCCCCGTACCCATTGCCCACTAAGGTTTCCATCCCTCCGGGGTTGGCAAATTGGTACCAGAATTGTCTGTAAGGATAGCAGCACTGGCTCGATAGGTCTACATCGGTAGGCCACTGCGAGTCATTGTAAAGGCCAGATATGCGTTCAATCACCTCTAAACGATCCTTGATTAAGTTGGATGCGCATCCTTAAGGGATTGATCAATGCCGACAGCTTTATCATTTTTTAAACTTTCCCAAGTGTAAAAACTATCAACTCAGAAACTACGTAGCATTCGTGTGAAATTCTATTTAGACGACTCTTACTAAGGCTGAAGATCAATAACCCAAGACTCCTAGTTAAGGAGACTGATTCACCAGATTAACGTAAGCTTTTTCTAAATCTTACCAGTGAAAGAATACATGTAAGACGTTTTAACACAAACACAAATGGTCGCGCAGCGTTGTGCTAAAGGAAAACTCACTTCTTTGATGAACTCCAGGCATGCTTCTATTCCTGTGAACTTCTTGAAATTAAGAAGCACATCTGGCTCACCGCCAATGCTCTAAAAATAGCTCTGAGTGGGGTTATCTAGTTGTGCAAAAATTAACTAAAACTACTCAGGCTGAATATAGGAAACCTACATCTGCACGCTCACAGACTGTAGAATAAACGAGCTTGACCAACGTTCCTCCTGAATATCAAGCAATAACTTTACGTAAAGTGAACCTGACAAGATCTTAACATAAACGAAAGGCTAAGCCAACCTATGTCGAGTGCAAATCTGCTTTTCTTCACCAACGGTGCAAATCTGGCTTCTTCCGGTAAAACGATGAACGGTGTAGTCGGTTTCTCCCGCAGTATAGGCTGAACAGACCTAACGACGCCATTCTTTACGTCATCTGCACGTCTATAATAAAAGCCTTTGATGTTCTACAAATGAAAAAGTCTGCTAAGCAGTCCACTAGTATATCTTGTTCTCCTTTCATGATAGTTCACGAATACCTTATATACTGTACTTTGGCCTACAAAAGCTCGTCTAAGCAAAACTCTCAAAGTTAAAACGGTACAACTACCCCCCCCCCCCCCTCAAGTACTCAGAAATAACAATTTTAACTTATTATTTACTGCCTACTCATTTTTTTAACGGCAGGGTGCACGCGCTACTCCCCGGAAGGGACAATAGCGCGTTCGTTCCTCACTGCATACACCTCCGGTCCGGAGTTTTGCAAATATCTCAGCACCAATGAAGTTATACTCAGAAATGAATTGTGCGGAAAAATAGAGTCTTAGAACTCACCGCAAGTTGGAGTTTAGCAGTAACTCATCCATGATGCGTCGTACACGATTTCTCTAAGAAGCATATGGTCATTGTTGGCAGCAGTAAAGGAAGAGTTAAATCAAATGTGTCACATAACTTTACAAAATCGTCGGTGGTAATACTCAAGCGGCGATAACTTCTTGCACTCACTGGAAAAGTCTCTCAAAAGCTCAAAACGTTTGCAAACCTTTTTCGACATACGCGCTCTTGACGTTATCGGTTCCGATGGGCTTTGTAGCTTACGACTACTTAGAACTGCACAACGTCCCATTGTGGGTTTTCAAGTTTAATAAGAATATAACCGGAAATTCTCCGGGAATCCAAGAACGATGACACCTCAACAACATGCACTTTATTAGACAGCATAGACGAAAGCTAATACAACACGAGAATATCTGGCAAGGAAACGAATACATCTGGCAAACAAATATTTACAAAGAAGATTACAAAGCTAATTCTGAAAGAAAATGTCTCAACTAAGTTAACTCCGTAGATCGTCGGCATAGGAATGAAATTGAGGATTGGAAAAAGAAAATCTCAAGACAGAATGAAAGAAATTCATGTACCACTCACTAGTCAAATCACATAATTTTTCAAGATATTGAATCAGAAACCACCACTAAGATCACCGATCGAAGGACAAGTTATTAATGATAAGGAGAAGTTTAAAACACCTGCTTAAGATCGAAAAAGAGCAGATGCAAGTTTAGAAATAGAGAGGTCAACGTGCATAAGCAGCCCTGTACAGAAGCACGAAGACTACGTTGTGAATGGAATTTCCAACTTAAACCTTCGAGCTTGTATGTAACTAAAATAACAGGCCAAATTTACTTAGTAAGAGCACGACTAGTACATCCCATTAGAAGTTGAACTAAAATTAAAACACCTACAGAGCACACTCAAAAGTGGGCCGGAATTGTTCCTAAAAGATTTCGAAACTTCTAAACATTTTCTCTAATTCACCGCGTTACTACGTGATCGCAGGGTATCACATGAAAGTAACAGATTAAGATTTGTTCCCCAAAAAAACATTTAAAGATGTTTTGCCATAAAAGTTAGTGAAAGAAATAGGGAACATTTCAGACTTAACAAAAACGACATTGGATTTAGAACTAGCAGATTCATTCGTTAAACCCTACAGAAACGGCAGTGGAAACGGGTTCCGAAAATCATGGTGGTTCGATGATAGCATACACTAGCGAAACCCATTCAGCGCCCTATTTAATCACTGAAAGATAAGACACTTCCATAGACATTCCACAAGTGGCATGATAGGTAATGATGGTACGATAGTAGAACAGGGAAAAACCAAAAGCTTCCAAGGTTTCCAACATTATTCGTCACCAATAAAAAAGCACCGATCAAAACAGTTATCAAGAAATTAAAATAAACAATTTTAGTGACTCCAGTTACCAATCACGTTTTACGGAACACCTTCTCAAGAAAAATGTTTTAAGAACAAAGTCTACTTGAGTGAGAAGACAGCGCATAAATTGTAGTCGGATAGACCTGAAACTTCAAAATGAAAAGTGTGACAAACGACAGACACAGATAGGAAAGCACTACGGCGAAGCAGTAGACATTTTCAGCAAACACAACGTTCAATAGACTTGTCACTATGATTATTACAAAATGAAAAATGCAACAATTATTAGACCTTTTCCGACCCAACGACGGTTGTTCGTCCTTAAATTAACGTATCTGTGAATACCGGCACATATGATTTATGGATTGAATTGACTTCATCTTTTCAGTTTTTTTTTCAAAACAAACATTCCCAAATTCATAGATAACTTTGCGAATTAAAATCAGAACCAAACACAAGAAATTCTAAAGTACTATCGACCAGGTAAAAGCCTCCTTATCCTACCATGGCGAAATCCTAATTTTTCAGTCCTTTAGATTTTTGCTTCCTTAAGATCCGTATTTCGAACAATGTCCTGAATGTATACTCAACGAAGAACTTAGCCTCGTTTGCACCAATATTTTTTAAAATTGCTCAGTGCTCCAAAACTACTCGTTAAATCTAGATTATAAACAAATTGTATTCTTTCTTGATAAGCTTGCACGAGGTTGATAAATATATTTACTTTCGGCTAACGTTTCGACGTCTTCGTCTTCCTCAGAGCCGGTGATCCGAGTCGATGGTCCATGCTTGTTGTTCGTCTCGACGTTGCAGCTTCGCCTTCGTGTCGAGCCAGGTCTTCCTCAGTGAGCCATCTTCTCGAATGAGGCATCCTCACTCAGTGATGCCCTTTTATACACGATGCTGATGGTGGATATATAATGACAATGTCCGGTGGTAACAACTTGTATTTCTTCCGGACATACATCATTGCGCGCATCGTGCAGAGGTCGGTGCATTATCAGCTAGCACAAAGCGTAGTAATATTTCGAAACCGACCTTCCCTAAACCTCGGTGTGACTAATCAATATGTATTCTTTCTCGATAAGCTTGCACGAGGTTGATAAATATATTTATTTTCGGCTAACGTTTCGACGTCTTCGTCTTCCTCAGAGCCGGTGATCCGAGTCAAAAAAACATCAAGGGATTGTCCTATAAATAAATCGCTAAAGGAAAATTTAATGTAAGAGAATATATGGTACCAGGACATCCTAAACGTCTGCGTGATAGCCATAGTCAAATCCACTAAACTCGAGAGCTGAGCGATGGCTTGAATTTGTGCTTTCTTATCATTAATTACGGAAGTTTTCCCCATTTTTCTTTTTTAACACTTAGAGCGGTCTATTGATCCGGTTTCGACTCGTGTATTGTCTATTTCTTTACTTCCCTCTATCTAACTTGTTGTGAGGATTTTTACCTACTTGGATACTTGAACGGCCCGTCCTCACTGGTTGTGTGGGCCCCAGCAAAGTCTCCACTTTTTCAGAGATTTGCTGGTTTAGCCGTTGTAGTTCCCTGGAATCCCAAGGTCAGCCTGGCTAAAGTCTGCCCAGGTCAGCACAACCACAGGCACTCGCCGCCCTTGTGCACCAAAAGGAGATTTCCTACCATGCGCCTAGTTTGGTACCAGGACGATGACAGATTCTGTTATGGGTTTACCCTTAGCGGCGTTCCAGATGGAAACACCTGACTCCTCTGCTTGGGAGACCCTGTCAAGGTGATGAATACATCCCGCTGTACATCGCAGCCCGACACCCAAGATCACCACGCAGCCACGATGAGGCGGTAAACCGTTGGAAGGCATGAAAATTTTTAGACATCAAAATTTGATACTTGGTAAGTCCTCATATAAAAATCAATTCTCAAAGAATTCTGACACATTATCACTAACAATATTCAAGCTTTGGGCTATCTCCGTAAAGTAATGAAGTTTTTCGGTAATCTATGGAAACGCATTCTTTCTTGCTCCAGTCTTTATCATTTATAACTCAAAATTTTTGTCCACTCAGTCATCTCATTTTAAGCGATACTTTTGTGTATTTAAAAATTTCTGCATTTCACACGATCCTTGTGAAGATCCAACTATGGCTCACTCCTTCCCATATTGCACTTGATCCATAGGCGTTGTTATTTCGATAGTTCGCAGTACTGCTGTTGGTAAGATTTGTACTTCTCGCTGTGACAGCTATATGTCGGATAGTGAATTTTG